GAGGACGCCTGACACTGTCCTCGCGTGCAGCACACGGGGGCACCTGCGTGAGCCCTCACGCACCGCAGCAGCTCACAGAGGGCCCGGCAGAGGACGCCCGACACTGTGCTCGCATGCAGCACGCGGGGGCACCTGCATGAGCCCTCAAGCACCGCAGCAGCTCACAGAGGGCCCGGCAGAGGACGCCTGACACTGTCCTCGCGTGCAGCACACGGGGGCACCTGCATGAGCCCTCACGCACCGCAGCAGCTCAGAGAAGCCGGGCAGAGGACGCCTGACACTGTCCTCGCGTGCAGCACACGGGGGCACCTTCATGAGCCCTCACGCACCACAGCAGCTCAGAGGGGCCGGGCAGAGGACGCCTGACACTGTCCTCGCGTGCAGCACACGGGGGCACCTGCATGAGCCCTCAAGCACCGCAGCAGCTCACAGAGGGCCCGGCAGAGGACGCCTGACACTGTGCTCGCGTGCAGCACACGGGGGCACCTGCATGAGCCCTCACGCACCACAGCAGCTCAGAGGGGCCGGGCAGAGGACGCCTGACACTGTGCTCGCGTGCAGCACACGGGGGCACCTGCATGAGCCCTCACGCACCGCAGCAGCTCACAGAGGGCCCGGCAGAGGACGCCTGACACTGTCCTCGCGTGCAGCACACGGGGGCACCTGCGTGAGCCCTCACGCACCGCAGCAGCTCAGAGGGCCGGGCAGAGGACGCCCGACACTGTGCTCGCATGCAGCACGCGGGGGCACCTGCGTGAGCCCTCACGCACCGCAGCAGCTCACAGAGGGCCCGGCAGAGGACGCCTGACACTGTGCTCGCATGCAGCACGCGGGGGCACCTGCGTGAGCCCTCACGCACCGCAGCAGCTCAGAGGGCCGGGCAGAGGACGCCCGACACCGTGCTCCTCGCTCTGCAGGCAGCCATCATTTCCGGGCCGCGCGTGTCTCTGCGTCTCTGACGAGGTGAGGCCCAGCACACAGATGGGGACCCGCTGCGGGCGAGCTGACATCAGTGAGCCCTGTGCTCAGCCGCCAATGCAGTGATGTGAATGATGAGGCCCAGGAGACGGCAGGCAGGCCCTTCTGCCACTCTGAGGACTCCAGACACACTGCCGTGACATATCAGGACCTATTTTACACCTGTCCGAGGCACATCGAATCCTTAGGCTCCCCTAGGGAGGCTGGAGGTGTAAAAAGAAAATGAAATGCACTTACCTTCACCGTCCTGACCACACACCTGTTTCAGACCATGTCAGATTCCCGCTGACACTTTTCAGATGACAACCTTACACACATAAGGTTATGTATTAAGATGTGGTAACAAAAGAAAAAAAAAGCTTTATTCCACATTTCCTCAGAACCACTAATCCTGTTTGATTTCAAAGAAAGAGTTTCTACACATTGAGCATAAACATTAACCTGAATAAATGAAATTATGGTTTTCACTAACTCAAACAGCTCTCACAACCCTATGAATTTACAAGAATAGACCAGTCCAGCCAGTATGGCTCAGGGGTTGAGCATCAACCGTGTACCAAGAGGTCACTGGCTCGATTCCCGGTCAGGGCACGTGCCCAGGTTTTGGGCCCGATCCCCAGTGGGGGATGTGCAGGAGGCGGCCAATCGATGTTCTCTCTCATCGATGTTTCTCTCTCTCTCTCTCTCTCCTTCTCCCTTCCTCTCTCTCTAAAAAATCAATAAAAACATATATTTTAAAAACACAGACCAGTCTTCCCCTAGCTATTTGCCAGGTGAGGGTGCAGGTGCCGACTACACTGCAGAGCACGTGACATGGAGGAGAAACCGTCGCCCAATCCACCGACTCACAGGAGGGGAACAAGAAGAACATCAAGTGCCTCGGTTAAGGAGCTAAGGAAACGCCCGTTACTACCCTGGACCGACGCAGCACCCTCCGGGAAGCAGGCAGACCTGCCTTCTCCCCACTACAAACGACAGAGGACTGAGCTGCGATGTGAAGGTCAAGGCAGCTGGTCATTAATCACCCACCATCGAGGAAGCAAACAAAAGGAGAAAATGAAGTGAGCACAAGTAATCAGATTTATTTTCAGTTAATATGACATATGTTTTAAACTGTGAAAAGGAACTCTGTCCTATCTTGGGTTGGGAACAAATGTAAATTTTTTTTTCTTTATTGATTTTAGAGAAAGAGGAAGAGAGAGGGAGAGAGGTAGAAACATCAATGAGAGAGAACATCGACTGGCCACCTCCTGCATGCCCCCCCAACGGGGATCGGGCCGACAACCTGGGCATGTGCCCTGACCGGGAATTGAACTAGTGACCTCTTGGTGCAGGGTCGATGCTCAGCCACTGAGCCACACTGGCTGGGCACAAATATTAACTTTTAAAATGCCCCAAGATGAGGAGTGGGAGGCAGAGTGGCCTGAAGAACAGCTGTCTCACCCCGGCCGCCGTGCTCAGCGGCTAGAGCACTAGCCCAAGCACAGAGGGCTGTGGGTTTGATTCCCGGTCAAGGGCACACACCTGGGTTGCAGGTTGAATACCCAGCCCCAGCTGGGGTCATGCAGGAGGCAACCAATTGATGTGTCTCTCTTACATCGCTGTTCCTCTCTGTCTCTCTCCACACCCCTCCTTTCTCTCTAAAATCAGTGGGAACAATAAATATCCTTGGATGAGGAATAACAACACCAAAAAGGAACAAGTGTTCCCGTTCCAGACCACTGTCATCTGACCGCCACGTATGGCGAGGCCGCCCACCAGACCCCGTGTCACCTCCGCAAAAATGCAGGCTCAGGGAGGCTGTGTGACTTTACCAGGACACTCAGCCCAAGTGGCAACAAGAGTCATACCTCCAGGTTCTCCCCCACTTCCCACCATTTCAGAGTAGAAATGGGTCTTAAGCTCTGTTAGAGTATGATGATAAATATTATTATTTCCCCTGCAAGCTCTTAAGTCAATGGCAAACATGTGATCAACAACACCCTCCCTCGCCTGGCGAGATGCACGTCAGGTGCGAACACTCACAGACACTGTCCCACCTGCTCCCATTCGGAACGGCCAGCACAACAACAACTTAGATGCACTTCTACGCTCTCAGATTCCATGATGGTTTTTGATAAGTGAAACCGCAGGTGGGAAATTAACCTTTTTATTTCAGAAGAGACACAAGCCCTGTGAGGGTGAGGACCATGATCACGTGTCAGTTTTGTCTGCAAGGGAAGAGCCCGGGACACAGAGCCTGGTGCCTGCATGTACTCAACACTGTCAAATGGACAGACAGACAGACAGACAGGTGGCCCAATCGAGGAATCATCACTCATGGGCCCGCCCTCTGTCTTAAGGAGGGGGTGGTGGAGCAGGTGGCCATCCTTCAGGTCAGCCTGGCGGCGCACCTCCTAGGCAACGGGAGCACCGCTGTCACCAAGGGACCACGGACCGCTCGATGAACCACCACTCACACGCAGCGGAGGAAGTGTGTTCTGGCTGATGCTGCAGACATGCTATTAACTGACTCGCGTAAGTGGAGTCATAATCTTCCACAAGCAAAAGACTTTAAAAACATAAGTTCAGCCCTGGCCGGTTTTGCTTAGTGGTTAGAGCTTCGGTCCACACACCAAAGAGTTGCGGGTTCAATTCCTGTAAGGGCACTACCTCGGTTGCGGTTCGGTCCCAGCCCTGGTCCGGTTCATGCGAGAGGCAACCAAGCGATATGTCTCACGTCGATGTTTCTCTCCCTCCCTCACACCTTCCCTCCCTGCCTCTCCCTCCCATTCTTTCTGAAGATAGAAAGAAAACTATTCTTGGGTGAAGATTTAATAAATAATAAATACATAAATTAATCCAGGAAACCCAGAGACAAAGTATCCAGTCACTTCAGCAATGAAAGCGCGGAGTCTGAAGACACTGACGCCGGAGGGGATGTCATCTCCCAGACGCTGTGCTAATCACCGCGGGAGAGTTCCCCATTCAGACAAGCAAGGCCACGAAGCCCACATAAAGTACACGCTGTTCTCCACATTGAGCATAAACGTTACCCTGCATAAATGAAATTATGGTTTTCACTCACTGAAACTAAGACATGAGAAGTTACTTGTATCCTTTTAAAAACAGCCTCGCCGGTGTGGCTCAGTGGTTGAGCGTCGACCCTGCACCAAGAGGTCACCGGTTCGATTCCCGGTCAGGGCACATGCCCAGGCTGCCGGCCCGATCTCCAGTGGGGGGCGTGCAGGAGGCGGCCAATCGATGTTCTCTCTCACATCGATGTTTCTCTCTCTTTTTCCACCTCTCTCTAAAAAATCAATAAAAACATTTAAAAAAATTATGTCAGTCACAAAAGGACAAAAACATTATATGATTTTACTTATTATGAGTTCAAATGCACACATATGGGCATTCAAGTCCCTGAAGACAAGTAGGGTGGTGGTCCCGGCCGGTATGGCTCCATGGTTAGCGTGGCTACTCTCGCAGGGGCGGGAACCTCTTTCTTCCAAGGGCCATTTGGATACTTACAACATCATTCAAGGGCCATACAAAATTATCAACTTAAAAATTAGGTTACCAGTTCGATTCCAGTCAGGGCACGTGCCCGGGTTGTGGGCTTGATCCCCAGTAGGGGAACTGCAGGAGGCAGCCAATCGATGTTTCTCTCTCATGGATGTTTCTCTCTCTCTCTCCCTCTCCCTTCCTCTCTCTGAAATCAATGAAAATATATTTAAAATAAATAAAAATAAGAAAAGCATCTGAAAGACCTCCACAGCCACAGTGGACGATTCCAGTACTACAGAACAAAAAGCTAACTGAGGGGGATGAGAGCAAGAATATACTTAACGACAAAGACACTTTGAGAAACACGCCCTCGGTGAGTCCCTTGTCGCCAGAATCAGAGGGTAGCCACACAAACTGAGGCAGGACAGCGGGCACACACGCAGGCTTGGGACGCACCAGCCTCGCACATGCTGTCTGCAGGCCCCGATCCATCAGGGCACCGACTGTCCCCATGAGCGGCGGGCGCGGCCACTCACCTGCCGAATGGACATGGTGCAGAGGATGTACAGGAAGATGAAGGAGCAGTCCGTGGTGTCATCGCCCAGCAGGTTCCGGTGAGACAGCCCCTGGATGTAGGACAGGGGGGTGAAGGGCAGCTTTGCCACCACTCTGCCATCGAATCTGGGAAGGAAAAAACAAAAGAACTGTTATTTTTAGAAGCCTGACAAGCTTCTTAGTTCCAGAGAAGAATCTGGGACAGAAATAGAACTTCAAGTCCCTGATCTTTAAAGACAAAGAAAGGTGATATTTTAGAAAGAGCCTGAAGTACAAGGAGGGGAGGAAGGATGTAGACTATTCCTGTCCACCTTCTTCTAAACCAGTGGTTCTCAATTTTTTCAGTATCAGGATCCTGGCAGAAAAATAGATCTGAAGCCCTTCCCATAGAGCAGCCTTTCAGGCGTGTGCGTGTGTGTGCGCCTGTGTGTGCGCGCCCGTGTGCACTGCTGGCTGAGATTACAGGACTGTTTAGTGTGTGGTGCTCGTAAGCAATATCGCGGAAGGGAATCACGTGAGCATCAGGCAATGTTACTACTGGCGGGAATGGCGGCTGCTTCCTGCCAGGCTATTCCATCACACTCATCAGTGCAGGAGACTGCGGAAGACGCGATGCTGAACTTCAAGCAGCAGAGGCTCCAAGCACTGGCAATATTCACACAACAGAGCCAAGGCCAGTGAGCATGGCCACTACACAGACAGGCCCCCAAGCTATAAAAATTCCATTTTAAAAATCAGAACTGGCCCAGCTGGTGTGGCTCAGGGGTTGGATGTTGACCCCTGCACCAAGAGGTCGCCGGTTCGATTCCTGGTCAGAGCACAGGCCTAGGTTGTGGGCCCGAGCCCCAGTGGGAGGCATGCAGGAGGCGGCCAGTCGATGTTCTTTCTCACTAGTGTTTCTATCTCTTTCCCCTCTCCCTTCCTCTCTCTCTAAAATCAATTTAAAAAAATTTTTTTTTAAACAAACAGTCCGGCCAGTGTGGCTCAGTGGTTGAGCGTCAACCCTGCACCAAGAGGTCACCTGTTCCATTCCTGGTCAGGAAACATGCCCAGGTGTGGGTCCAGTCCCCAGCGGGGGGCATGCAGGAGGCGGCCAGTTGATGTTCTCCGTTGTGTATCTTTCTAGCTCTCTCTCCCTCACACTTCCTCTCTCTCTAAAATCAATAAAGAAAAAAAATTTTTTTGAATAAACAAAAAACCATTTGGCACTTCCTCCGGCCCCTCCCCGACACCGGCCACGTCCTCTCCCTCTACTGCACGCACACAGGCACATCTCTGCTCTGACCCCACCGCGAATCTGTCTCTGTCTTCTCACCCCACGCAGCGCTGACATCACTGAGGCAGGGCGCGCCTCGCTGGTCTGCTCGTCTTTGGCACAAAGTGGTCCTTCACAGATGGGACAAGAGAGCAGGCTGGGCAGGGAGTCTCCGGGCGAGGGAGAGACAGACAGACAGACATAGATGAAGCGGGGGAAGAGTGGGAGAAAGGGAAGGCAAGGGTGAGGGAAACTGCAATCCGAGTGGGAGGAGTCAGACGAGCTGACAGGTAATCAGTGACCTCTGTCATTTGGGAACCTGCCCAGCTCCTTTCAAAGTGATTCCGCCATTACTCAGGTCTCCTTGGTGTTGGTTTACACAACAGTAATCTACTTTATCATTAAATGAGCTTACAGTTGTTAAAACTCTATTTTAAGAGTCAAAACATCTTTGTACATCTACCTTCCTTTCGAAGGCCCCAAAATACCTAGTCTTTGCCTTGTGCATAAAATATGCTTACTATTAGGGCGGCGAAAATGCCCCGACTGATTTTGCTCAGTGGTCAGAGCATCGGCCCGAGAACCAGGGTCTTGGGTTTCATTCCGGGCGAGGGCACGTACTTTGCTTGCAGTTCGGTCCCCGGCCCTGGTTGGGATCGTGCAGGAGGCAACCAATCAATGTGTCTCTCTCATGTTGATATTTGTTTCCTCCCCCCAGCCCCCCAACTTCCTCCTGCTCTATCTGAAGATAAATGGAAAAGTATCCTCGGGTGAGGATTTAAAAAAAAAAGAGGATGAAAAAGCTATTGTGTATGTACCCTATCACAATTAAATTCCCTTGGTTTGGCTGATCGGGCCGGAGCTCTGCAGGAGGGCGTCCGTGACCTCAGGGAACACGCTCCCGGCACTGCGCACAGTGGAGCATGACGGCTGCAGCGCACATCCGGCAGTGTGGCTCAGTGGGCGGAGCGTGGTCCCAGGGGCTGAGAGGTCCCAGTCCAACTCCGGATCAGGGCACGTGCCTCGGTGACGGGCTGGATCCCCAGCGGGGGGTGTGCAGGAGGCAGACCATTGATGTTTCTCTCTCACATCGATGTTTCTCTCTCTCCCTTCCTCTCTCTCTAAAAAAATCAATAAAAATTTATTTGAAAAAACAGACTACGGCATACTCTCGAATGACTCAGAAAAATACGCAAATCATGGACCTACGAGTAAACATGATACGGAGTACCCTAGAAAAGAGACGTTAGCGGGGAATGTCGACAGGCGTGAGTCTGGATAAGGGACGCACTGTTCCCATGACTCCCGCGCAGGAAACACCGACACGAAGCCCTGCGGCGCGCTGTCAGGGCGGGGCACTCACATGGAATTGAACATCCCCATCAGGGCGGTGAAGCAGAAGCCGATTGCGAACATGGATTTCATCCGGACCTGCGAGGACACCGACGCTGTCACTGCACCTGTCACTGCACCTGTCACTGCACCTGTCACTGCACGCTGAAGAGAAGCCACCCTGACACGCCCTGGAAGTTTCCGTTTGAGGCCGTGTTTTCAAAGGAGCTCCTTAGCCAAAAGCTGTGCTCGCAAACCACCTCCCCTGCAGGCCCTCCTGTCCTTGCCCCGCGGGTAAACAGTACTGGGATGGCCACGAGACCCGGCTCTGGACGTAAATTATAAGCACAAGTGCTGAAGGGACTTTGAAAAGGGACAAGCGTGCACCCTGCGGCCACCCTGCGGGCCTCCTGCTCATTGCTCTAGCTGGGAGTGAAGAGCACGGTGCCCGAGGGCAAGGCACCATGGGACCCGAGACGGCCTCGGGGAGCAGTTCACCAGCTGCATGTTCTCACTTCCATCTGGCCAGGAACACCCATGACCATCTGCACAGACTGTGAGTTTCTGAGAAGGTAAGTGCAGTGTACTTGATGCAAATGTTTTGCTAAAAACATCATGTGGTTTACCAGGAGGTTCTGTTTGGGACTCACCATTGACAGGTCTCTGTTGTTGTTCTTCAGTTTCTCCTCCTGCCTCTCTGAAAAGCAGAGACAAGAGGGTCACTGCAGAGTGCTGAGCACGCGGCCACGTGGAAACACCGGGGCTGGCGCCCACAGGCGCACCTGTCCGTCAGCAGCGCTCAGCCAATGAGACGAGGGGCCAGCTGGCACGTTCCGTGCCTGTGCTCACGGAAACCCAGACGCACCAGCACCACTCAGCTCCCAGAAACTCTGTCAAGTTTAATTGTTTTTAATTTTTTTTCCCTTTGTTGATTTTAGAGAGGAAAGTGAAAGAAAAATAGAAACATTGATGAGAGAGAACATCAACTGGCCACCTCCTGCATGCCCCCCATGGGGATTGGCCCACAACCTGGGCATGTGCCCTGAACAGGAATCGAATCGGCAGCCTCTTGGTGCAGGGTCGATGCTCAACCACTGAGCCACACCGGCCTGCCTTAAGTTTAATATTTTAAAATCACCTCTGGCCCTGGCCAGTTTGGCTCATCCGTTCGATTCCTGGTCAAAGGGATGTACCTGGGCTGTGGGTTTGATCCCCAGCCCCAGTTGAGATCATGCAAGAGGCAACAATCGATGTGTCTGTTACACTGATGTTTGTTTCTTTCTCTCTCTCTCTCTCTCTCTCTCTCTCTCTCTCTCTTTCTCCCTTCCCCCCTCCGACTCTGTCTGAAGATAAATGGAAAAACACCCTCAGGTGAGGATTAAAATAAAAAGAAAATTTAAACCAGAAAACCTTGGGAAAATTAAGCCAATTAACTGTGGGAGCAGAAATACAAAAACCGCAATATAGTGCTGGCTCTCAAACTTCAGTTCACCTAAGAATTCTCTGGGCACTTGTTGACAAAGCAGATTCCTGGGCCGCAAGTCGAGAGACTGAGTCAGTAAAGCCTGGGAGCCAGACTCGGGTCCCTACGTTTCGACTAGTGTCTCAAGAAGCACTGACAAGAAGGCTCGTGTGAGGAATGTGGACGTAAAGAGCCCAGGACACAGCCGGAGGGAGGTGAAGGCGGCAGTCACACACTAGAGGACACTCCAGAGGACGTGGGCAGCCCAAGGGCAGGAGAGAGGAGCCAGTGTTCACAGCGGAGCCCTGCAGACAAGGAGCCTGCTGTCCACCTCCCCTCGGGGCTCGGTCGGCCTGCGGGGCTGCTCCCAGGCCCAACAGCCCCACCTTCCTGGCACCAGTCAGTTCAGCTTCCTGAGTCTGGATCACGTACACCCCTCAAATGCATCCCTCCTTGCATCAGGTAACTTGGCTGCAGCCCAAAGAGCTAAATCAAATTTGTGTATCAAGAGTAGATCAGGCCCAGCCGGTGTGGCTCAGTGGTTGAGCATCAACCCACGGACCAGCAGGACACTGGATCCATTCCCGATAAGGGCACATGCCCGGGTTGCAGGCTCAATCCCCGGTGGGGGGCATGCAGCCGGTGGCCCACTGATGTTTCTCTCTCACATCAATGTTTTTCTCTCTCTCTCCCTTCCTCTCTCTCTCCCTTCCTCTCTCTCTAAATAATCAAAAAAACATATTTAAAAAAAAAAAAAAGAGAGAGAAAGAGATTAGTTTCTCTTCTACGAGAGGAAAATGTAAAACAGCCATGACACCTGATAAGAAATCGAGAATGGGAACCAAAACACCTGCCGTTTCTGCACGGAAGACACCTTGGTTCCAAAATGCGGGCTCTACCCAAGCTCGACCCAAGAGCCTCCCTGGGGAAGTCAGTGGCGTTCACTCCTCTGGACACTGGACCCCGCTGACCTCCCCTTCCTCCACGGCAGCGGAATCATTTGCAGCCCCACCCCTAGAACTGGGCCAGTTTCTGTCAATACGCTCAAGCGGACAGGCTGAGCACAGGTAGCTCGGCCGCAGCCCGCACAGAGCCACACGGACGCACACACTGCTGGCCGCAGCCCGCACACAGCCACACGGACGCACACACTGCTGGCCGCAGCCTGCACACAGCCGCACGGACGCACACACTGCTGACCGCAGCCCGCACACAGCCGCACGGACGCACACCACTGCTGACCGCAGCCCGCACACAGCCACACGGACGCACACCACTGCTGACCGCAGCCCGCACACAGCCACACGGACGCACACACTGCTGGCCGCAGCCCGCACACAGCCGCACGGACGCACACCACTGCTGACCGCAGCCCGCACACAGCCACAGGGACGCACACCACTGCTGACTGCAGCCCGCACACAGCCACATGGACGCACACCACTGCTGACCGCAGCCCGCACACAGCCACACGGACGCACACACTGCTGACCGCAGCCTGCACACAGCCACACGGACGCACACACTGCTGACCGCAGCCCGCACACAGCCACATGGACGCACACCACTGCTGACCGCAGCCCGCACACAGCCACACGGACGCACACACTGCTGACCGCAGCCCGCACACAGCCACACGGACGCACACACTGCTGACCGCAGCCCACACACAGCCGCACGGACGCACGCACTGCTGACCGCAGCCTGCCGCCGTGCTCATTCGTAGCCGGCCCATGGGGGGTCCATCAGTTCAAGCACAGTGTCCACTTATTCATGGGAAGTACTGCTTTTCTTAACATTGAGACCTCAGATTGAAGTTTCCATCACGCCTCATAAAAGAGCATCATGGGGTGTTTCAGATAACATTCTCAAAACAACCCACAGCAGTACTGACGACAGACTGTCTCTGCGTGAGCCGCTCCCGGTGGCCACCAGCGCCGATGCCCAGGAACAAGAGCAGGAGCAAGCGCACAAAGGGACGCAGTGCAGGGTTCCAGACTGCAGAGGTCGCCCTGCATCTAAAAGCAGAACGACAGGCCTAGAGAACAGACAGCCGTTCGCCCTCTGAGCACTGCCTAACAAATATTATGTCTTGTAACTGCTGATTAGACTGATACTCCACTCTTCATAAATATTTATCTTCAGTTCTAATGATATTTTTTGGTGAGCAAGCAAGTCAAGGCTGCATCCCATCGGACGATAACTTAGTTCAGATGCTGTGTCGTCCACTGAAGGGCAGAGGGCAGTCTGCCTCTGTTCTGGATCTGACGCCCCGCGCGGAGGGGCGGTCATGAGAGCGGGGCGGTGGCAGAGGCCACCTGGCAGCGCTCTCTTCGGGACACAACATCCCTGACCCAGGCATACAAACAGTTCCTGAGCCCAATATACGTTGTTGTTTTCTCCTTACCTCAGAGTCAAGAAGCATCATAAATACAAACCACATCTAATCATTTATAAATTGTCTTTTGGAATAGAATTACATTTGGTAAGTTCTACAATACACTGAAAAACCAAAACCATGTCGTTTTCTTTCAGACAAGGTACAATTACTCAGCAGAAGATGTCTACCCCGGTGGGCCTCCACCCCCAGGGCGTGCTCAGTGAGGGAGCCATGGCAACAACCAATACAAGCCACTCGGACTAAGCGGACACCGTCGTCACAGGTATGAAAACAACGTGCGTTTACACACTAGGCCCCAAACCCTCAGCCAAGGGCAGAAGCCACAACTGTCGACATCATTTTACTCAAACGGAAATCTCAGAACTAAGAGCCAAAGGAGCACTTGCTTGAACTTGTCCTGCAGAAAGCCTGAGAGTCGAGTAAGAGAACGTGGGCGAGGACTCAGTGAACCGCAGAATCACACACACGTCACCGCATCTTCATGACTGTCCTCATATGGGCACTTACTTCCTCCAGGAAAACCTAAACTTTGTGTATACCAATAACTCATCTTACCTATTTTCTTTTTCTGCTGTCGACCAGCTGACTCGGTTATTGTTTCCTTCTTCTTTTCCACTGTAAACAACACAGTAACACAGTAAAAATTAATTGTGCATTATGCTAAAGAATAAAGGCTGCTTTACCCAAACAGAACCGATGGAAGAAGCTTACAAGCAAGTGACACGCTGACTTTGATTACGATCCTGGTTCAGTCACCTGGTCTGCGGCCAGTAAAAGGCGGACACATCCTCAGACTAAAGCAGCAATGTGGTAAGCAGCACTCATCCAATACCAATAAAGAACTGCAGAACATGCCCGGCCGGTGTGGCTCAGTGGCTGAGCGTCGACCCTGCACCAAGAGGTCACCGGTTCGATTCTCGGTCAGGGCACATGCCCCGGTTGTGGGCCAAATCCCCATTGGGGGGCATGCAGGAGGCGGCCAGTCGATGTTCCCTCTCATCGATGTTTCTCTCTCTCTCCCTTTCTCTTCCTCTCTCTCTCTCTCTCAAAAAAAAAATCAATAAAAAAAGAAAAGAATCGTAGAACACAAGCATGATCTAAACAATGATTTTCAGACCCCCATCCACGGTGAGTGCCTTAGAGTCCAGGCACACTTCCAAGTTCTGCTCTCATATGACGATGGCTAATGTAGTTACAGTCTCATAGTCACTACAGAAGGCAGGATCCATTCACTCAGCTATTGGTTGCCCACCTGGGCAGATGAAAAGATAAACATGATCCACACCTTCTATCGAGCAATACAGTAAGAGCAGATATTGAAATAATAATTACAGTATACAAAATAGGCAAGTTAGACACATGCACAGGGTAGGAAGAGCCAGGAGGGTCAAAAAGCTAAGACCATCTTGTTTTGATGTGTTTTAATTAAGACGATAGAGTAACCATAAGCTTTTGAAGAGAATAGTATAATATATTTCTATTTTATAGTTACTATCTTTAATTCCCTTGGATGGACTAATAGACATGCTAAAAATTATCTTTATTGCCCTGGTCGGTTTGGCTCAGTGGTTGTAGCATTGGTCCACGGACCAAAGAGTCACAGGTTCGATTCCGGTCAAGGGCATGTACCTTAGCGGCGGTTCAGTCCCTGGCCCTGGTCGGGGTCGTGCAGGAGGCAACCAGTCCATGTGTCGCTCTCACATGGATGTTTCTCTCTCTCTCTCCCTCCCTCACACTCTAGCTGAGATAAATGGGAAAATATCCTCAGGTGAGGACTGAAAAAAAATAAATTACCTTTACTTAGTTTATTTACATTATCTGTTCCATATATTATCTTAGTATACTCCCTTTGCTAGCAAACGCAGTGTGTGTATTATTTCTAGAAGCTGCATTAAAGAGAATTGGCAGGCAGGACACTTTCCCTTATTACTTTAAGTATGCTGCCTGAATTCTAAAAGCAAAATAAATATTCCTGCTTTATGAAGGAGATGTAACTAGACTCAACCAGAATGCAATACTGTGAATGAGATAATGAAGTGCTGACTCAAATAAAACATCTGTGTGTGCACGCACATACTGGGCATCTAAGTAACAGGTACTGCTCGAGGCAGAGAAAAAGAAAGAGAAAAATTTAGAATAAACCTACTGCCCTTGCCGGTTTGGCTTAGCGGTTGGAGCGTTGGCCTATGAACCAGAGTCCCAGGTTCGGTTCCCGCTAGGGGCACGTACCAAAGAAACAGAATAAACCTACTAATAACAGATCACAAAAGAAAATTAAGTCAAATTCTATAAGATGTCACAGTAATAACATTTTTTTTTTTTTTTTGGTACGTGCCCCTAGTGGGAACTGAACCCGGACTCTCTGGTCCGCAGGCCGATGCTCCAACCGCTGAGCCAAACTGGCCAGGGCACAGTGATAACATTAAAAAAAAAAAAAATAGGCAGAAAACATTGACTGGTTTACTCTTTATCCTTATTAACCAAAGAAACAAAAATATTTCTTTCCCACCCCTGACTTTAACAACTACTTGGCATGTAAGCACAATCTCGTAAAAAACAAAGGGGGGAAAGACAGAAGGCTATAGAATAGAAAATAAGATAATACCATGCGCACAAACTAGTCTTCCAGCAGACTGGACTGGGACCAGATAATCTGCTCTAGGGATAAAACAATCTCACGTTTGTCTGACCCTCTTGATACTTATTCACCAGAGCCCACCCCGAGACAAGCAGTGCAGATGCCACAGTTGTCAGGCAAAGCTTCCCTAGCTGTGATTTTAATATAATTCCTTAGTACAACTGCTGTGAAGGTAAGCATGAAACAGGCTGATGATTGGAATGACCTGTGCATGTCTTGTCGTCTTGGGTCCTCTACGTTAGGAAATCTATCAGAACTCAGTAAGTGCGTATTATGTTCATGTCTATGATCAGTTGGCATTTGATAGCTTGCTGGGCCTGAAACGCATTTTGCCCACGACCCGACATTGCCACACTCTGAACTCCAGATTCTCCCAGTTTATAAAAGGCTCCATCCTGATCCGCTGCAAACAACAGAAACACTTCACGGTAATTTGTACTCAATAAATCCTCGCGTCCAATGGTACAGCAGTGAATCAGCCACGATTTAACCCTATCACTTGCTTTCCAGGCCTTGCATTAGTGTCTGCTGCAGAAGTACCACCATGAACGGTGACTGTCTGATCTCCAGCGCACCTGAATTTACTGACGCTATTCAGAGGTCACCCGAGTCAACCCACTTGGCGCCGCTAAGAAATCAACAAACTCGACTTGTTCTTAACATTTTTGTCAAACATGCCTTCAGCCAACCGAAACATGACTTCTCTCCCGGAAGAAACCACTTACCTTGATACCAAACATGATGACCTGTCGTGCGCCAAACACACCTTAGTCCCTAAAATGGTCCCGTTTTCGCACAAACGCTACTTCCTCTGTCTGGAAATCCCTCCCTCATCTCGTTCTCCACCCGAAGTCCAGCCACCCACGAAGGACCGCAAGGCCGCCTGCATCACGAAGGCGCGCCTCTCGCGTGGAGGGCATTCTGCATACAGGCCTCCTACTCCTAACTTGATGCCCTGTGGGATTCCTCGTGCGCCCCGGGAAGGTCCTCCCATCGGCCGGGGCCCCGCAGGCACCCCCGGAGCAGGTGCTCCCGGAGCAGGTGCTCCCGGAGCCGGTGCTCCCGGAGCCGGTGCTCCCGGAGCAGGTGCTCCCGGAGCAGGTGCTCCCGGAGCAGGTGCTCCCGGAGCAGGTGCTCCCGGAGCCGGACCCGTTTCCACCACTTCCCAGGGAGGCTGCCACACTCACACTTTTTACTCTGCTTCTCCACTTCCGCCTTCAGCCTCTTGTATTTGTCTGTCCTGTACACCAGGACCCAGGTGATACCTGCAACAGGAAGGGCAAGGCGCTCAGGGACCCGTGTTCGCCCCGGGCCCGGCGACGGCCGCCGCGGGGGAAGGCGGGGTTCCGACGCTTCCGCTTTGGAGGCGCCACTGGTCAAAACCACGGACTCTTCGAGCAAGAAGCGCCTGCAAGGGCCGCGTCCCCGCAAACACGCAGGTGACCCAAGCAACCGGGCCCGCGCGTGCGCACGACCCCGCCGGCTCCCGGGGCAGAGGACTCGAGCCCCCGTGGCGGCCGCAGGGTCCGCAGGCCTGGGACCCCCAATCCCCCAACGGGGATGACCCAAACGTCAGGCAGCAGCGCCTCACCCTCGGCGAGAAGGGCCGTGCACACCGAGATGAAGACGATGAGCAGCGTGTCCGCGAACATGGTGCTCATCTCGCACTTCCGGCTCGGCAGTCCCACCCGCGGGGGGGACGCGCTCCACAGCCACGGGAAAGGCAGCGACAACGGCTCCCCTGGACTTCAGGACCGCCGACGAACGCGGCGGCTCTGACAGCTTGGGCGCACACTTCCGCTTCCGGGGCACAGCGCCGGACGGACTTCCGGGCGGGGGCGTGGCCCCGCGGCGCCGGCGGAAGCCAAGCCGCGCTCTGGCGGGTCTCGCGAGAGGTGGGGCAGGGCGGCTGGGCCGTGGGGCCGCGGCTTCCGGCGCGCCTTCTCCGAGGCGTGAGCTGCGTGTCCGGACTCGTCCGCGCTGCGCCCCGGTCCCAGCCGCCAGGCGGGTTCGACGGCGGGCTCGGTTTGCGCAAAGTGGCGAGACGGCCTTCCGCCCGCGCGGGCGACACGCACGCACCCTGCCGGGCCCCGGGAAGCGCGGCGCTAGCGAAGGCGGGGCCGGAGCGCGGTGTGCGGGGGGCTCGGGCGTGCGCGCGGCGGCTGCGGCGCCCGGGGCCCCGGAGCCGGGAGGAGGAGCAGAGGCAGCGCTTCTGGGGCTGCAGAACCCTCGGAGCAGCGAGCGGGGCGGCCGGAGGCGCCCCTGGGCCCGGGGCCCGCAGAGCTCACCGTGGACGCTCGCCTGCGGGCTGGCGTGGGCAGCTGCGGGAGCTCCCGCGCGCGAGGCCGGAGGGAACACTGACCCGCGAGGAGCAGCGGATGCATCCAGCCAGGACCCCTGCGAGCAGCAGCACCCCGTTTCCGACATTCCCCCCATTTCCCAGGAAAACCCAGAAGAACGCGCTGCTGTTCCGCGAAAGCTCGGTTAGGAGCGCTGGTGCCCATCACGGTGACGGCCGTGTGGGTTGCAGGACGCGTCCGGCAGCCTGGTGCCGACGACGGCGCGTGTGCGGGAATCGAAGGGGCTGAGCTGCCGCCCGTGACGTGTGCTCGTGCCCTTGCCCTCACTGGCTCCTTTCACCTCCGGGGCACCCTATTTATAGTGCTCCGGGAACCCTGCTTGGGGCTTAGTCATATGTGCCTTTCTCGCCTTTGGACTTAGAGGCAGGGGCCCTGTTCCTTGAGCAGACGTTGAGCTCCTACGGGCGGCAGAACAGTGGGGGGCCCTGTTGGGTCAGAGAGGGTGACTCCCGTCCCAGTAAGTTACACGTTGTAAGGAAGTATAATAGAGGTAGGTATTCATAAGATATTACCCGAGCACACGTGAAGGCAAGATGGGTTGTCCCTGGAGGAGTTGGGAAGGTTTTTCATTTGACCTACTCCTTGATGTGAGTAGTCCAGGTAGGGCAGGTTTTATTTCAGCCTTGTCTCGCCCGTGGTAAATGTGGACATGCGATGAGAGTGTGGCCTTTAAAGTCACACCTGGTTTTCAGTTCTGGCCACGCCACTTAATTGATTTTTTTTTTTCTAGGGCAACAATGTTATAACCCTGTGCCCCGAGAGGCAAGTTCGTATAACATCTTTTCCACATCTTACGGGATTCCTGTCATATTTTCAGGTTTCCTAAGCTCTCAGGTTTTCTCCCAGGTAGACCACCCACCCAGAGTCACTGTCCTGCTCCAGTTTCTATGACTGGCTTTTGTTCTGAGACTTCCTGTTACTGTTCTCTAGGATAGGGTTCCCTGCTCCCTGGACCCACCTCTTCCTCCTTGGTTTATACTTTCTGTTGTACATCTTCCTGTGAAAGGTACATGGGAGATAAACCTGCAACCCTCTTCTATTAGTAGGGTTAGTAATAATACTGCTCTTTAAACAGATGTTCTGTAATCTGTAAAAGACTAAGAAGTGAAATCCCTGCCTATAACAGGTATGTAAGGATACGGGCTTTAGGTTTGACTCCCATCCTGACTCATGTAAGCTGTATTACTTGAGCAAGTGATTTAATTTCTCTGGGCCTTTTTTTTTTTAATCCTCACCTGAGGATATTTTTCCATTTATTTTCAGACAGAGTAGGAGGGAGGGAGAGACAGAAACATTGATGTGAGAGAGACACATCGATTAGTTGCCTCCCGCAGGACCCTGACCAGGGAGGGTCAGGGACCCAGCGGCAACCGAGGTACGTGCCCTTGACTGTAATCGAACCCGCGACTCTCTGGTCTGTGGTCCAGCACTCCAGCTGCTGAGCCACACTGGCCAGGGCTTGTTTAAAATCTGTAAAGGTAAGAACACCTGCTTTCCAGAATTACTGTGAAGTTTCCATAGGGGTTAGAGCAAAGTGCTAGGGTCAGACCACCTGTCTTGGAATCTTGGCCTCACCACTCAGCTGCAGGTGCAGTTTGGGGCAGATTATTTCATCAGACTGTTCCTTGGTCCCCTCGAATGCAGCATGGCATGATCATAGCACCTGAGTCCAAAGAATTTGTTTTTTAAAGATTATGTGAGTAAAAGGTTTAGTATAGTACTTGGTTCATAGGACACAATAAGTGTTAACCATTATTGGTTCTATTAAACCACTGAGCACATAATCTGTGAACTAATTTTTTTCCTCATTCAATTCATTTGCCTGTGATCTTACTTAAGTAACTCCAGCTGCTCTCTGTCCACTGATGATTCATAAAACAGTATCCGTAGTCCACGCTTCTTTCCCGATTTTCAGACCTAATATCTAGCTGGCCAACTGGGCATTTCCGTTTGGATATCCCAAACTGAATTCTTTTACCCAAATTCCAATTTCCTCTTTCCTTATTGTCTTGGTAACATCACCATCTACCTGGTTTTTCAAGCCAGGAATGTGGGACTGTCCTCAGTAGCTCCCCTTCTTTATTCTATACTTCATGTGTTTTTATTGATTTTTTAGGTATTCTATACTTTTAATCTCCAAGTCTGACAAATTCTCCCTCCGTATTTATTTTGTCCACTCTCTCAGTCTCCTTTACTACAGGACTTCAGGTTGCCATTGTCTTCCTCTTACAAACTCACTGTTGGTCCCCAGTTACACACGTGACTCTGTCCCCTGCAGGCTGTTCTCATGCAGCCAGAAGTGATGTGTCTCAACTACAAGGTGATTGACTGTGGAGAAGCTGGGAAGGGAGGGATTGAGGACAGCGCCCAGATTGTTTTTCTTGGCCACCTGAACAGATTCGCATCAGAGGAAGTAGGAGAGGAATGTTGTTGAGGGGAAGGTGATGGTTTTGCCCAGTACTCTGGCAGGACGGGGTGAAAACCTTCGGCAGCCCCCGCCAAGCACTGAGATGATGATGAAGCCATGCCCAAATTTTATTAAAAGTAAAACTAATTCTAACGTGAAATAGGAGTTTATTATTTTTTGAGATATTTTACTTTTTCAAATTATTTCTTCTCTGAGTCTGTTTGTGTGCCCCCTAATCCATGCTTAATCTGCCCTTTGGGTAAGTCGGCGTGTTTGAGGACAGAGACTGCCTTGCTCATTGTTGCACCCCAGCTCTGGGATATCACCTGGCATGCAAAAGCTGCTCAGTATGTATTTACTGAATGAATGAATCATACTGTTGGGAGAGAGGCCAGTAGGTTGGAAGAATATTTTGGGAATTTTGCTCAATCTTGAAGAAGAGGTAAAAATTGGGATGTGGGAGAAGCAGTGATCAAAAGCGTTGAGTTGGGAACGAGGAAGGGGTGCGAATCGGAGCTGGTGTGTTGGCTGAACACAGTCTGTGTTCAGGAAACGGTTGACGAGGTAGGGCGAGTCTGGAATTGATCTGTAAAAGGTCCATGAGTCTTCAGTTTCTGGATTGAGGATTCATAGATCTCAGCAAATTTTATTTAATCAAATTAGTTTATAAACCAATAAATGTTAAGAATAACCTATGTTGTACCTTTGAGAGACTGATAAAGATTCTTAATCTTGATGCTGTGGTCAGTGTGTCCTCAAAATATTTCTTCTACAATACCTTAGGAGTGGTATTAATACTTTCAAATATCAAAAGATAGTCAACCTCATCAGTGATCAGGGAACTAGTTCAGGACCACTCCATTCAGTTGGCAAAAAGTTGGATCATCACACAGTAAAGGAACATTTAAAATTAACCTTTGCACCCTGGCTGGTTTGGCTTAGCAGTTAGAGCATCAGCCCACGAACCAAAGCGTCATGGGTTCGATTCCAGTCAAGGGCACGTACCTGGGTTTTGGTTCAGTGCCTGCCTCTGTTTGGGGTCATTAGGAAAGCAACCAGTCAGTGTCTCTCACCAGAGTGTTTCTCCCGCCCTCCCTACCACTCTATCTGAAGAAAAATGGAGAGAGAAAATACCCTCTGTTGAGGATTTAAAATTAAATCCCCCCGTCCTTTGCTTGCAGATGATGTGATCTTACACATACAAAATTAAAGATTCCACACAACCCACACATACACACAGACAGCTGTTAGAACTAGCAAACAGTTGTGAATACATGAGTTTACTCTTTTTAAAAAACTTTTTCTTAATTGATTTTAGAGAGGGAGAGGGAGAGAGAGAGAGAGAGAGAACAACATCGATTGGTCACCTCCTGCATGCCCCCAACTGGGGATAGGGCCCGAAACCTGGGCATGTGCCCTGACCGGAATTCAAACCGGCCACCTGCAACCTCTTGGTGCATGGATCAATGCTCAACCACTGAGCCTCACTGGCCGGGCCATGAATTTATTGTATTATTTATTAGTTATTGAATTATTTTCTATACAAACAACTATAAACCTACTGCCCCACTCTGTGTAATATAGAGTGAAAAGAGTAAGTTCTTAAGAATTATAGCCTGGCCAGTGTAGCTCAGTGGTTGAGCATCAACCCCTGCACCAAGAGGTCACCAGTTCAATTCCCAATGAGGGCACATGCCCAGGGTGTGGGCTCAATTCCCAGTGAGGGGCATGCAGGAGGCAGCCAATCAATGTTCTCATCAATGTTTCTATCTCTCTCTTCCTCTCTCTCTCAAAGCAATAAAGAAAAAAAAAATGGCCCTGGCCAATTTGGCACAATGGTTAGAGCATTGGCCTGCAGTCCAGAGAGACCCGGGTTCGGTTCTCACTAAGGGCTTGTATCTCAGTTGCAGTTTGTCCCCGGCCCTGGTTGGGTCATGCGGGTGGCAGCCACTCAATGTGTCCCTTTCACATTGATGTTTCTCTCTCTCTTCCTCTCTCCCTCCCACTCTATCTGGA